TATGTATACATATATGTGTAGAGTACCTAGTTATTATAGTTATAAAAAATTTCAATGAAGTACTACCTCTGGTTTTTAATATAAGAATTGGTTGATTAATTTGAGTAAATCAAAGTAATTAGCTTAAGTTAGTTATTTATAATAAATAGGTGTTATCTTCTCTAAAATATCTTATAACCAATCAAATGTCATTTGATGAAACATTTAACATGTGCAGCTACTATAAAGACTATCTTAAATAAATAAATAAATATAATAAACAAAGTGGATTGTGATCTTATATTTAGAACTAAATTAAAAGTTAAATTAACTCTTATATAAAGTACCATAGGTAGCTTAACACGTAAAAATTTAAAAAAATATTTTTGATTAAATAAATATTAAGTCAATACAATCATGATTTGGGGCAAAAAAAATAATTATATTGATATGTACTCTTCTCTACAACAAATGAACAACACTTGAAAAACCACGTACATCTCTCTGCATCTTGTACGCCAAGAAATAATTCGCCAACAAAGACTGGAAAGTTGCATATTTCAATATTGAGACTTTATTAGTGGTCACCCTTATGTAGTTTTCTCAATTTTCCTCAGTCTTAATTCCTAACGAAATGTACCTTTGTGTGAGAATATTGTTGAACAGTCATTAATTTGTCTACATGCTACGATAATACTTGAAACTGTCAACCCATAGGAATTTTTTTATTAAATAAAAAATGAAAAAACAATTAGGAAATGATCATCATGTAAAGTCCCAGAACTTGCTTTAAGATGAACAACCTAGAATATTAAGGGAATTATGCTCATATATGTATGATGAGTTAATTGTACTTAGGAGTGTCTTAAAACGATGTTTAACATAAATTTATTAGGGATTTATAATTTCATAAGTTATGAATCTAATCCACCTGTTTTGATAAGGACAAGAATGTCTTGCCTGACCAGAGGGATTTGAAATTTGGACTAATCAATTTTGAATTTCGTCAGGTGATAATGGAGGAATTGTGTTGGCCGATCACGTTGAGTGTCTGGTAATGTCTATAAAGGCACGACCACATATAGAACTTGTTAGTATGAGAAAAATTGGACAGAGAAAAACTTCAATGGCCAACTTTAATTTTAGGTCCGTTTGGATTAGCGGTGAAAAAAGTAATTTATTCTCAATCTGACTTTTAAAAAAGTGAGATTGAGTAAAAGTTAAATTGGGTAATATGATTTATATTTAGATTGACTTTTATAAAAATTAATTTGTAAAGTAAAAAAGTTGTTTTAATTATGATTGAATAAGTAAGTTTAGTCTGCAAATTGACTAAAATGGGTATGACTTTTATTAAATAATAAAAAATGATTAAAAATATGAGTTTATAAAATATAATAATTTTAAATTTTATAATATGAAGAAGTTATATTTAATGAATAAGATGTATTTAAATTAGAAATCATAATAATATGAAAATTTTCAAACCAAATAATATTACATAATTAATTAGATGATATGCTCTGCATAATTTATATAAACATAAAATGAAAAATAATATTAAAAATTAAAAAATTATAAAAACTATTAAAAATTATTTTCGTTTAAGAGAATATTAAAAATAAATAATTAAAAATTAATTGGGAAGCACAATGAATATCTAGAGAAGCATAAAATATCATAAATATAAGGGTAAAAATGTCTTTTTAACTTCAAAGGCTATTTTTACATAAGTCATAAGTAAGTTTTAGGTGCTTTTGTAATCGTGTTTAAAAAAGTAACTTTTGACCCATAAATCAGGTTAGCTAAAAGCTGTGACAAACAACTTCCAAATTTACAAACTGATTTATCACCTCTATAAATTACTTTTCTCCTCCTTAAACACTTGCCAAACAGGCACTTTAACATTTTCCATCGGTCGCATGTTTATATCCCTACACATATTCCATGTGTTTAAAATGCAAAATGCAAAATCAATACTCCAAACGTTAATTTTCTTCTTCCTACCTTTTTACTTTTTTTTTTGTTCCTTCATTCATTCATCCATTTTGACCTATTCAATGAAGTTTCAACATTTGTAAATCAAACCGTCACGTCCTCCTTCATTCTCACCCCAGCTGTCATTATCAAGAACAAATCACACGAATAAATCAAAGCCCTTTCTCGAGAAACTACGGTTTGACTTCATGATCTCACAATATAATGACAAGGGTGGCCAGTTTTTTCTTTTGCTGAAACATACTACTAATATAAGAACTAATTAATCAATTTAAATATATTAAAAAAATTTGTTAAATTAGTTATTTGTAATAAATAGATATTCTTCTCTAAAATACCTTTGCCAATCATATGTATTAGCTAGAACTATCATTTGATCGGATTTTTAATATGTGCAACAACTATAAAGACTGCTTTAAAAAAATATATATAAATATGAAAGATAAAGTGGATTAAGGTTTTATATTTAAGGTTAGATTAAAAGTCAAACTAGCTGTTATATTAAAGACTGAATGTAATATTAAAGACAATTCTGTTTAAGGCATTGTCGAGCACTAAATGTGATCATACCTCTAAGCAAAAATTCAAAAATTGATTCATCATGTTATGAGAGACTAGTCCCTTCTGTTGGACTTACTTTAATTGGCAAGGGTGGCTAATTTTGTTGATGAAACTTGCAAAAGCATAATACTCCTCCGGTCCTAAATATAAGACCATTATACTAGTGTATATAATGGTCTTATATTTAGGACCGGAGGAGTAATACTTATAAGTGCAACAACTATAAAGACTGCTTTGAAAAAAATGTATAAATATGAGAGATAAAATGGATTGAGGTCTTATATTTAGGGTTAGATTAAAAGCCAAACTAGCCCTTATATTAAAGACTTCATGTAGCATTAAAAATAATTCTCTTTAAGGCATTGTCAGGTACTAAATGTGACCACACCTCTCAGCAAAAATTTAAATATTAATTTATCATGTTATAAGAGACCAACTCCTTCTATTGGACTTACTTTAATTGCCAAGGGTGGCTTTTTTTTTTTTTTTTTTTTGCTAAAGCATCGGTATCTTCCTATTAGAAGCAATCCTATTTGAGACATTGTTGGGCACTAAATGTGAGTACCTCTCTCAGTAGAAATTCGAACCTTAGTTTACCACGTTATGAAGGACTAGCCCCTCTCGCTAGACCCAACCCCTGTTCGTAATGGGTGGGTAATTTTGTTGATAAAACTTGCAAAAGCATATCAATACTTATAAGTGTTATGTCTATGGACATAGTCAGGCCCAAATCTATGGGCCATAGCTATCTACCCATTCTAAATTATTTATTAACGATTACATGAAATACGGAAATTTACGCCGTTTTTTTTTTGCCCCCTGTGGGAGGTGGGGTGGGGAAGAGGGCTGTTTGGCAAAGTATGTCATAATGGCAAGACTGTTTTCTTCCTACTACACAGGCAGATGATAAGTATGATGGACAGGTGGCATGCTGTTGTTATCTGCAATGTCGCCATTATCATCGTTTCTGTATTTCCTGAAGATTCTTCACGTAACATTGGTTCATCTTCATCAGTTTGAGACGGCGGGTACTCCGGAACGGATTCATTGGAGACTAACCTAGTTAATTTAAGACTAGTTTAAGGTAAAATTCTGCGAGTGTTTTGTTATCAGTTTCTTCTGCAGAATGACACGTGGTTCACAGATGTAATGTAAAGTGTAATCCAAAAAAAAATAAGAGATGCAATGTAAAAACATTTACTTGTTAAAGAACCTTATCGTGTTAGTAATATTAGTTTCGTATTAGTATAGATTATTATGAGTTAATCATGAATTGATGGTAGAATCGAGATGAAGATGAGTGTGTTTCAGAGAATTTTGGCGGAGTGCGGTTGCCAGCAGTTTAAGACTAGGTCAGGGGGGAAAAAAAGAGAGAGAGCTGCGTTTTAACTTGAGTTTTCCAGTCACAACAAAAGCCCAGATATCTGTTAAACGATACAAGGAGCAGCTTTTAAGACTTAAGTTTCATTCACACAAGAAAAAGAGAAGGAGAAATGTCAAATGAAACATGGATTACAGAAAAAGCTACATCACGCATCTTGTTCATTTTCTGAAGCTGTCATGCCAAGAAAACAAGCGAAAGAGAGTAATCAAGTGTCTGATGGATGTAGCAGAGATTAGTATAAAGAAGAGGAGTAAAGATGAGAGGAAGAAAGAACCAAAATTGGTCTTCTTTCTCTTATAATCAGGCGAATAGCTGATTTCATAAATTCTGTTATCTCCGCTGCATATCTCAGCATCACTGGCCTCAGAAATACGCCCCATAAAGCTGCCATTGCGATCACTACCTCTGCCCCAAAACCCATTCCTCTTTTTCTCTATCCCTCTCCATCTCTACACTAAACCTTATCTATATTTATGTCATGCTAGAAGTCTTTTAATTTGTCTTCTTTCTCGTAGGTCATAATTGCCAACTACCAGTCTTTGTGAACTGTAAGAGTGAAACTAGTTTCGGTCATTTTCCTTTCTTTGATTAGTCTAAAAAATCTGAGTGGCCATGAAGGGCTATCACCTTCATCCAACGGTAAGAAAAAACTTTAATGTTCCCAATTCAACAACTGATATAGACATAGTTCTCTTGTTAACAATTTTCATTCCCTTCACTGCGTAGCTAAATCCAGGATTTGACAATCCATGATTTGCTCTGGTAGGGAACATGTGGTATGTGATTGAACATATTGTCAGAAATTAGTTCTCGATTATGCTAATTCTTTTCAGAATTATTCTGCTGGAAAAAACACGAATGACTTGTTATGAATAAATAAAAAGGACGAACTAATTAAGGCGTGTAAATTAGCGTTAACGCCGGTGAACATAAACATATGGTGCAATCAGAAGCTTCTTACAAAGAAATTTGAATGATGTGCAGAAATTTGCGTTTACGTTCTTCGAAACTCTGGAAACTGTGGGAAAAGTTCTTTGGCTGTAGGATAATGCGGTTAAAAAATGACAGGAGGGCATAATTTAAACATTGTGAACGGGCGAAATATTATATTGGGGAAGATAACTCCCATTTAAGGCTTATACATAGATTAATCAGGGGTGCGGATGACTGTACATAAAAAATGCTATTTCATTCGTTTGAGTAGTATAGTACAGTGGAGTCATAATTTGCTAAAGTAGAGGCCTTCTTTTAAGATAAAATGGAATCAATAATCTTAAAACATTGACAACTGTTCAACGTGATTCAAAGCCAGCAATCCTCATATTTGTTCCTTCAGATCTTGCTTGCTTAAGTCATTTTCCAAAGTGAGGGTGGAGAAATTGAGAAAACTTGAAAACCATTTGACAGAAATCTTGGGGATCCGCTCAAGCGTCTGTCGTTTCACGTAGTACAATCCAAATCTTGTTCCATAGCCATCTACCCATTCGAAGTTGTCCATCAACGACCATATGAAATATCCTCTTACATCTGCACCTTTCCTGCTCATACACAACAGTCATCCTTTAACAATGTGATTCTCAAAATGAGCAGAAATTCTCAAAATTTCAGACACATTTTTTAAGGGACCTACCGATGATAACGTATCTAATCATACTTGGTTTGTTTTATTTTTTGCCATTACATAAAAAATTTCCTCAGAATGAGACCAAGAAAATCCCATCTCATAGTGGTCACTTACCTAATGGCTCTTAGCAAAGCTGCAAGATAGGCTTTGTGGAACTTCATTCGGTCAAAATCTTGTAGAAAATCATGCAATGCAGCATCCTGTTTGGGCGGTGCAGAATATCCTGAAACGTTTTACGGCAGACAAATCTTTTACTAGTACACAGAATCACATACAAATGAACATAATAGAAAAGAACCTTCTCTAATATCAATTATATTCTCTTTAGTGCAGTTTCATTCACCATTTTCTGTAATGAACAAGGGCATATTGGGGTATCTTGTCTTCATGTAGTCTACAATCTTTTCCATGCCTCTTGGAACCACAAAGAATCTTGGCATTCCTGTCTGTTTCGAACAAATATTATCTTTAATCCAATCTAGACTATATCAAACACTTGAGTTGAGTGACCAACATAACATGAATATTAGTGATGGCATAGCAGAATTTCATACCAAATCACCTATTGGAATGCCATCTCTGAAGCCGGTAGTTTCCAGAAAGCCACGTATTGCATGGTCCCCTGCAGGGGAACAAGCAGAGGAGCAAGCAGAGCAGGAGCAATCTTTGACATAGAGAGTTGAGTAGTGATTCATGCCAATGAAGTCCAAGCTTCCTTTTATGAGACTCTTTTCATTAGAAGAGAACCTTGGCAACCGGCTTCCAAGAATATTGCGCATCTCAATAGGGTAATCACCAAACACGAGGGGATCAAACACCCTGCTTGTTCCCAGAATAACAAAGGAAAAACAACGTAATCATAATACATGTTGGGATGATTGGCATGAACATAACTCTTCAATTTTTTTTCCTCTAACAAGACCAGTTCAATTCTTGACTGGGAAAAGGATTTTACTAAATTGGCAATTTGGTTGCTAAATGGTAGGCCTATTTCGCTATAGTGACTATGAAAATTAGTGAATCTATTAACGAATGTCTAGAAATAATAAACTCGTTGAGTGTTAGTCTTTTAGTCAAGAAGCCAAAAGTTGCAGAAGAAAACACATAATAAGTGTTAATTTTTTCAGGACTAATTTGTGCAATAACTAATTTTTGAAGACTAAATAAAAAGGTATAGACCAAATTGTTACTACTTACCAGGCAATTATAAAAGCCAAGGCTCTATCCGCAGCTAGTCTATCACATTCTTCATCTCTGAGAGGTTCATACATGAATGTATTTGCAATAATCCCAACAGTTCCACCTTGCTTAGCCTGAACCAGCATCAATTTCAACCCTTTTAATCACCCGTATTTCTCTTTCATCCTTATACCTAGAGAAAGACATGAACTAAGCTCTCAGTTAAGGTTCATTTGTCATTACCTGAAAGTGATTGCGGTACAAGTGAACAGCCATGGCATGTGACAGCAAAGCGTTGTGCATGGCAATAAGAGGCTCAGCATCAGAATTTCCCACAGAACAGTTTCCAAAAGGAGGTGAACAATGACCTGGGGGATATGTTCCCCTTACATAGGCCATTTCTGTAAACAGGTTTGGCTCGTTGATTGTGGTCCAGTACTTCACCCGATCCCCAAAGCTCTCAAAACAGATCTTGGCAAAATGAACAAAATCTCTCCTGCACAATGGAATATGCAATTATTAAAATTTTTACTAGTCTCTGTTAACTTATGCTTTTGCATCACCAGAAGCATAGGAATTCTTCATTCTAAGTGGCAATCACAGAAGATGTGATATACCAGAATATTCTTTTAACATTATACATTGCCAACTAGAAAACAAAAGCCATTTTTTATTTTTATTTCTGCATATTCAAATATGATTAGTATTTATATATTTAGAGTATATGAGAGTATTTTCATAAAGATTTTAAATTTTGACTTTAGAGTATGTTTTGAGGATATCAAATATTTATGTAATTTTAAGAAATTGATTTATTTTAGGCTATGTTTTATGAATAAAGCAGGGGATTGAGATTTCACTTTATCAAAGGACTGAGCCAACCACCATATCTTTCTTCCAGTTCTTGTGGCAGGTCATGATGATGCATTGTCACAAATGGCTCTATCCCTGGATTACGCACAAATGCCGAGCCCAGGATTAGACACATCTAATAACAGCGATGTATAGCAAAGGGAAAAAATATTTCCCTGCAAAACATTACGCTACAAAAGAAAGTTGTCCATTTATAATTGAAAATCTCCCGTCATATCTGACACAAGTAGTGGCCAGCATGTGTAATAAATGCTTCGTGCTTTATAGATCACAACTAAATCAAAACTGTTACTGCACCTCTAAGCAGTAGGTTGTCTATAATCTTGTTGTAGAACATAATCCCTTTTGCATTAATCCCACCGTATATTCCTCCTGCAACAGCTCATAAAGACCAAACTGAGCATATAATTAAGAAGATAAATTTAACTTATACTATTAACTAGTTATGGTGAGGTGCTTACGGGGAAGAATCCTCGCCCATGAAATGGAAAAACGATACGCGTTCACCCCAAGTGAAGACATCAACTCAATGTCTTCCTGCCCAGAAAAAATGTTTCGAAGAGTGAGGTACATAATTTGAAGAATAGACAAGAGTTAACCGCAAGAGTAAAGGGAGTAAGATTAGTACCAAATAGCGGTGATAATGATCATCTGCTATGTCCCCATTATCGTTATGTTTGATCTTTCCTGAGGATTCATCAAATGGAAGGGTGAGTGTTTTGTGTTGGTCACAAATCTGTGCTTGAATTTGCATATAAATCAGTCCACCACCGTGGAAAAGAACCAAACAGGTTGGCGGCAAATGAAGATCAATCATTTTACCTGGTGTGTGACTGAAAACATCCCAATTGGTCAGCCCCTTGCCATCTTCCAGATATGCTCCTTCAATCTTGGTAAATAAAAATACATGAATTTCAGTAAATAAGTAAAGAATCGAGAGTGAGACATTTCATCAAGGCAGAGATTAGAAGAAATAGAGTGCCTGATAAGAGGAAGTGCTGGTTCCAAAGAGGAACCCTTCTGGGAACTGAGACCTGTGGATTGTATCCTCACCCCCATGAGAAAACTGGACCAGAAAATGAACAGAGCAAAGCACAGAGAGAACTAGGCAGAGCTTCGTGTCTAGCACTTTCATCATCCTGATTAGATGAATACAGGAAAGTAAAACATAGAAAATGCACGACTCGCATGGACTGAACCTAAAAGGAGAAAATAGAAGCTAGAAGGCAATGAATGCAAAAGCTTTACAGAAAAAAGAGTATCAGAACGAAAGTAAAAATAGGCCCCATGGACGTTAATTATGGTTATCAGAATTAAAGAGATATGGTTTCTGGCGGACTAGGGGTTTCTATCAATTTCTCTGATAAAATTTGTGAAGTGATCCCCAAAATATTAATATTTTATATTTTATAATTCACCACGTGGCGTGAGGAGCTGGACTCCAATAAATTGTTTTTAATAAAAGCCTCACAATCATTGGAAAAATCGATATAACCTCCCCATCATTTATTAGTAGTTGGCCGTGGCATGGGATAGCCGCAGTTTAGTTTAATTTTGATCTGAGAAACCTAATTAATTTAGTTTAACTAATTAATAACTAACCGTTGAGCCTTTATAGCACAAATCACGTCCCATAACCCCACGTTTACACCTTTAACTCAAAAAAAAAAAAAAAGGACAAATTATTATAGCCGGCAATCTAGCGGACCCGTCGTGGGTCATTGGGTTCGCGCCACAAATCTGGACCGGCGTGTGGTCGCGGCCTTGGAAAACGACATCTATCAAAAACCAAAATAATTGAGTGTAGATATTGCTGTACTCCTCTTATTCTTAATATAAAACCTAATTAATTTTGATCCTAAATATAATATCTATCTTTTATATTTATCAATTTTTTTAAATTACTCCCATGGATATTCCCTCAATCATAATCAAGTAAGTGAGGAAAGGAAAATATTAAGAAAGATTATTATGGTGTTTTAGAAAAAACATGTCATATTTCTTATAAAGAACTGACTTACTAACTTCTTTAATCTAATCAAATCAGTTAAATAAGTCTTATATTAAAATCAAAGGAATATCAAATTAAACTTTTTCTCTTTTTTAAGGGATCATTTAATTCAACGGTATGTCATTGCGAAGCAGATAAGAATAACAAAAAGCAGAGGCACGGTATTGGGATAGACTGGAGATATATAGAATAAGCGCTAAATATGAGAAAGGAAGGATATGAATACTACTTGATAAAAATGATACAGCATGAGCTTCGGATTTGTTGCTAGTGTTTCCCTATTGTTGGTCCAAGTAAAGAAAATGCAATTCTGCAGAGTTTGAGCAAAGCTCAAATTTCAGCTTTTCCTCCTTTATCACTCAAACCAACCATGCTTGATCTGTTAATTACTATTTTTTTAGTTGCATTATTAATAAACATTTAGCTGAAATATGGATATTGAACTATAAGGAACCCACATATGCTCCTCTAGTGGAGAGTAATCAGAGTAAACTTTTTTGTTTAATCTAAATCACCTCATTAAAGAGTGTGTGTATATATCATGTAAGAATAAAGTTGAAAAATTATTAAAATTTAAGACAAAATTAATGAAATTTAACTTTTTCTTAATTTAGGTGAAATATATTTGAAGTGCATTGCAAATAAAATCTTAAAATAAAATGTGATGCTTATCTACATGAGTAATTAAGAACTTTTAGTGAGCGATGAGTGAAAAATTGTTTCTCAGCATAACTACACGCATAAGTAATTGACAATTGTAATTAATTTATCAAGAACAAGTTCCTTCTTCAATGAGATTTTAATTTAATGTGATATCGCAAACACACACAGAGACATAAAGAGAGAGATTAACGTACGTAATGTTTTCCAATTAAAAAAACACAGAAAGTTGTCGAGTCTTTTTTTTTTGGCCCCTCCCTAAGCTCTCGCCAAATGATTCCGAACTTTTCTAGTGTTTTAGATTGGAAAGTCAACTAGAAAAGCTATAAGATTCCTAAATTGTTCATTTCTTTATGTTGAGAGAAGCGGCAAAAAGAATTTTTCTCCCTAGTGATTTAGCAATTCATATAGAACCACTCGAATTAATATTGTTTTATCATAAATCTCCTACGTTTATCAATTAAAGTATAGTTTGTTGTCCCACAAAGAGGTTTATTACGTGTTTTGAGTTTTGGCCCACCTGCTTTAATCGTTCAGTTTCTCTTAAAATAAAGACTATACAATCAAAGTAAATGTAAACAAAAAGAGATTGTCTGTTTATCTAACCCGCAAAAAGTTCAAAAAAATGGAATATTGCTATATAACTAATAATACCAAATATTTTATATCAATTTCACTCAAGTGTCTGTTAGTTTAAGTCATATAATCTTCCTTTAATTTCATGCATATACCATGGCTATAATTAAAGAGAGAATATGAGCTTCGATGAATTTAATCCAATTTATACTAATTTTATTTTGGGCTATTAATTTAGAATATTCTTATATATAATTAATTAATGGGTAGAACAGATGCCAAAAATAATAATAATAAAAGCTCATGATCAAATTGAATGACGAATCTAAAATATGCCATGCTTTTACAGAAGCATCTTTCACTTAATTACCAAAACGTACGAACGGAACATATTGAACGTACATATATATACAGAAATACAGAATTAGAATTGAAGCCATGTGAACCCATTAAAGAAGACTAGGCAGCAGAAGCCAATATGAACACAAGAAAGTTTCCATTCATCAACATACATGGAAAAGTACTGTAAGACAAACTTATGTATTAATATTGGCATCATATATACATTTATGTACAACTCCATCTGGTCACGTCACCAAGGTAAAAATGTTCCTTCAAGAATTTATAGTACGAAGCACACCATGAACACGTAGACAGTGAGATCAGCTCTTTGATCCCTTATTAGTTATTGCCATTTCCGCCATATGCTTTCTTTTATAAGACGGACACAGTGAATTGAAGAGGTCAGCTCGAAATCGAAAGATCATCAACTTATTAAGAGTGTGCTTTGGAAGAAGAAGCAAAGTAAGAACTTGGAGCAGGAGAGATGACAGACATGGAGGCTCAAACTAAATTCAAAGTTCCTGATAACTTTCAGGAGCGGAACAATCTTCCTCTTACTGTTAAGGTATAGTGTTGTTCATAATATGCTGGGCTTTTAATTTTCCTCTTTACTCTTCTCTTGGTTCTGCTAAAATAAACCAATAAACTCAAGATATGTTTGGATGCCTACAGAATGTTTCTTAATCCTTATTAATCGATGAACGGAAACAGTACGCTCTCAAGTTATAGCAATGAAGGTTATAATTTCTTAAGGCTCTGGCTGTAGTCAATTTCTTTATGTAAGTGCACGGAATTATAAACACACGATGTTGATTGTGAATAAGAAACGCCGTTTTAATTTTCTGACAAAGACGTTTTTCACTTGATTGAATTAATCAAACTGATATGAAAGCCTTTTATTTGGCCTTTTTAGATAGTTTCTCGTCTTTTTTTTTTTTTTTTGGTTTTCTGGAAAAATAAGCCATGATATCAATGATATGGTATTTCTAAATCCATATTTGAGGATAATTATGGTCAGATTTTCCTTCTAAGCATTCTTATGATATATATATAACTGCCTGTGCATACAGTTTGAGGATGTGGTGTGCAGATCAAAACCAAGAAAGATGGATTGTTCAACAAGAACACAAAATCAGAAGAGAAAGTGATACTAAAAGGAGTGTCAGGGATAGTGGAACCAGGCGAAATGCTAGCGATGTTAGGACCATCAGGAAGTGGCAAAACGACACTCCTAAATGCATTAGGAGGCAGACTCAAAAGCAACTCCAAACTGCAAGGAACGATAACTTACAACAACAAACCCTTCTCAAACACAACCAAGAGAAACATCGGATTCGTCACCCAAGATGACATCCTCTACCCACACTTAACTGTCACTGAAACCTTAGTCTTCACAGCCCTTCTCAGACTACCGAACACTCTCACCAAAAAAGAGAAAGTCTTACGGGCAGAAGCTGTGATATCCCAGCTAGGGTTAACCAAGTGTAAGGATAGCATAATAGGAGAGTCATTGGTAAGAGGGGTTTCAGGAGGAGAGAGGAAGAGGGTCAGTATTGGGCAAGAGATGTTGGTAAACCCCAGCTTGCTGTTTTTGGACGAGCCAACGTCTGGACTTGACTCAACCACAGCTCAAAGGATTCTGTCCACTCTGCGGGAGCTGGCTAATGCCGGAAGGACCGTGGTTATGACCATACACCAACCTTCAAGCAGATTGTACTACATGTTTTGTAAGGTTTTGTTGTTATCTGAAGGAAGCCCTTTGTTCTTTGGGAAGGGTTCTGATGCCATGAACTATTTTCTGAGTCTTGGATATGCCCCCACAGTAGGCATGAATCCTTCTGATTTCCTTTTGGATCTTGCAAATGGTATGTCTTCTTGTTCGTTTATTATGTTCAATATATCATATATGAGCATTGTTGAGTTCTGTAACTGTTTATCTTTCTAACTTGGGTGAGTGGGGATTTTGCAGGAATTTATACTGATGAATCTTGTGAAGACCATGCCTCACTTAAGCAGACGTTGGTGTTAGCATACAGGCATGACCTTGAAGCACAAGTGAAGGAAATGGTTCGTGCAGTAAGTGATTTCGGTAAAACTGGAAGTAGATTTCAAGGGGAGAATCAGATGGGTGGGCGACAAGTTGGTTTCAGCAATTTAATGTGTTGCTCAAAAGGGGAGTGAGGGAGAGAAGATACGAGTCATTCTCTGGCCTCAAAGTCACTCAGATCGTTATGGCGGCCATTATTTCAGGACTTCTATGGTTTAAGTCTGACATTTCGCACTTGCAGGATCAAGTAAGAATTCACTAATTGTTTCCGCAATTTAAAAACCAGAATTGGACCTACTCTGCCCAGTACTTGCCTATGATGAAAAAGGGAAAGAGAAAAAGTGAACAAGTATTAATAATTTCAAAAGTCAGCCATGTTTGGCAAGTTATTTACTAATCCTCTTTAAGAAGGTTCACAGGTATTAAACACGGAAACTTCATATCGGCTACTCCACATTTTTGTTTAGTGATAGTTTCAGTTTCAATGATCACTGATAAAGTTTCCAATTAACTAAAATTTTTGTTGTTCTCTGAAATGTAGACCGGTCTCCTATTCTTCATAGCTAGTTTCTGGAGTTTCTTCCCAATGTATCAAGCCATCTTCACATTCCCACAAGAAAGGACAATGCTTGAGAAAGAAAGATCCGCTGGAATATACAGGCTGTCCTCTTACTTCATCTCAAGGATTGTAGCTGACCTGCCCATGGAGCTTGTCCTTCCCACAGTTTTTCTCATCATATCCTACTGGATGGCGGGCCTCAAACCCCATGCCCTGAATTTCTCGTACACACTCTTCGGCCTCTTACTCAATGTGCTGGTCTCACAAGGCCTAGGCCTTGCTCTCGGCGCAATTGTGATGGATCAAAGCTCTGCAAGTACACTTGGCTCTGTGGTTATGCTGACTTTCATGCTAGCTGGGGGATACTTTGTCCAACATGTCCCTAAATTTATAGCTTGGATCAAGTACTTCTCCATCAGCTACTACATATACCGACTGTTTGTAGGGTCTCAGTTTGAGAGTAGGGACACATACCCCTGTTCTGAAGGGCAGTGTTTGGTTGCAGAATTTCCTTCTATAAAGCAAATGGGGCTGGATCCGGAGGACCAAGTGATTGCTGCTTTGGCTCTAGTGATAATGCTGATAGGTTTTAGACTCATAGCTTATTTAGCTCTGATGAGGATTGGGGTGACTAAGAAATTTGTCTAGCATACATTGACTCTTCCGTCCTGACATCTCATTTCCTTGTTGGTTCTATTGTAGCCTTAAAATAGAGCTATAGGCGAAACGCAGTAATAGTTTATCCATGTTGTGTTTTCATTAAGGGGCAGCATATGTTGGCTAATGAATTAGTTTATGAACAGATTTGAATTTGGGTTCTTTTTTCCTTTTTCTATTTGTATTGGAAATACAAGTTTTCTTGCTAATGGGCTTTGGGACAAACTTCAGAGTCAGTAGAAGCTTGAAGGCCCATATAAATGAGCCCATCCAATATAGACAAACCAAACAGAAGGTCTTTGCTCAAGAGGTCATTTTATGGTAGGATTCACACTGGCTTAAAAAGAACAGGGGTTTACACTTTTTGACATCTATATTCAAATGAAAAGACTGTTTATATATCAGCAATGTGGAACTGAATTCTGTCTCTCTTATTGGAAGTTATTAATAAAGCCATAAGAAATTTCCCTTTGTTTCATCAAATTTGACCATAAACAATGAAACAGAAAACCTTCATTGGAAGCCGGCATGTCACATGGGAAAAATCATCGCCTTTTGGAAACTACGTACCAATGTGGCGGTTGAATTTAGGCTAAAAAGTTGAATGTCTCGGCAGAAAACTTGTGGGGTTATTTTCACACCATACCACAACATATCTTTAACTTCTGCAAGGGCTAAGTTTTAAGTAGTGTTGTTGACTATTATTACATATTTAGATGTGCTTGACTTGAATTTTAAGTTTAACCGGCCGCCTGTGTGTTAGTCAAAAGACTCGCGCCCATTAATGTTCAATTTCAAAGTCAATTTTCCAGATCGGGTTTGCACAGAACAACAACGTTATTACTAGCTGGTCATGTGATTGATTATATATGGATAAGCAAGACAATGGATTCGTAATACCCCATTGTGACCATTCAACGATTGGATCTGATACGAAGGAGGAAGAAATTGTTGTAAGCCTCTGTTTCAGCAACAATGGATTCAAGTCTTAGTTGAAACTTGGTATTAATTAGAGTTGATATATAGCATTCAAAATAGAGGAATTTGAAGCAATTTGTGCAGTCCTCCACTTGTAAACAGTTGAGTATTGGTGGCCCTTTCCCTTCAGAATAACTTGAAAGCACAGTTTATAAAGTCCAATTAATTAATGCAAAATACAAGCACATAGTTTAATTTAGTTTTGGGGAACAAAACATTTTGTAAGTATTTATATTTTTTTTCTCAACTTTTTATTTGGTATTTCTATAAATGTTTTTTTCTCTTAATTAGATATCTAATTTCGTTGTGTTAACCCTTTTGTACAAAATGGTGCTAACAAAAGAAAATTACAGGACTAACTATATTAATTGAGTAAAATTAAAATATAATTAATTAAGGAAAAAATTAAAATATCAAATTAAAAATTAAGAGAAAGTAATATAACTAATAAAATGATTTATATATTATTTTTTATTGCTTTCCGATCCTAGCAGTTTCCCCAACCTTCCGGGAGTCAAGCACACGCACGCATCGCGTACGCGCGTGCGTGCATCTCCAATTAAACCATGCTTCTATAATTAAGAAATATTATTTGGCAGGGCCAACTTTTCCCATTAGAAAATGCAGATTCAAGTTTATGGCCTCTTGTCCATATACATATGTATATGTTTATGTTTATTTACTATCCTAGTATATTCATGTGAACGAAACCCTGTATATGTTGCAAAGTCTCCTTTTGATTCCGACCAAAAACAAAAGTCTCCTTTTGAAACTTAATTATTGCACGTGTTTTATTTCTCTGGATTTGGCCATTCACCCTCCTCCGTTTCACATGTCAGTATTGGAAAAGGGAATCTAAATTCGACCATGAACTTCTGATCATCTTCGATTTTATTTTTTTCCTCAGAAGACACGAGTGTTGCATGGATTATGAACTACATGTAAACTTTAACTTAGGGTTTTTAATAATCAGGCATCAAATAAAAGACATATACAAATGCGTAATCTTATATACTACCTCCGGTCCTAATTATAAGAGCCAATTGACTAATTTGAGGAGATTAAGGAAATAAGTCGAGTTAGTTATTTATCCTAAATAGCTGTTGTCTTTCCTAAAATATCTTTGCAAATCAAATGTATTGACTATAACTATTATTGTTAGAAGGGTTACTATGGAAAAAAAATGTAAATATGAGAGATAAAGTGGATTGGGGTCTTATATTTAGGACTAAAATAAAAGTCAAACAGGGTCTTATATTAAGGACCGGAGGTAGTATTTTGTACGTTCAGGATAAAAGTTGTGCTAAGTAATCGTAAACCAGAACAATCAAAATAAACAAGTTAACGTAATAATATTGTCAGTTGTCAAATTATATATGTTGGCTCCCAGTCTAAGCTTAGGGAAATTAAATAGAAGAACGCCCTTTGATTGGAAGAATTGGCATGAAATAAATTCAGAGAATCTATCGAAATTACACTGAAGAAAACAATATTCAATTTGGGAGGAAGTTTCATATATACCTGGAAATTAAGTAACTAAATAACTGTATAAAGCGTAAAAACTTGTAAAAAGTCATTCATTTGGAGGGCTAGAAATTTCAACCATATAGTGCGTTCAAGTCAAGATATATAAGGCAGAAAGCATATGAGAAGAAGATAAATCAAAATAGATGAAGATTCAAGATATATACACAACTGATGAAAAAGGGAAAGAAAAATCGAGTTTTAACACTTATTGGAAGCAAACCTTTTGACCAATAGTGTGCAACTTGCAAAACCTTAATCCTAGGTAGCCTCTTGTTTATTTGGTTAATTAATTATTAAATGAGTCCAACATTGCAACGCACACAGACATTAGTTGTAATCAAAAGTTCGTACAGCACAGTAGAGACTAATAATATATACAATAACAAAATCAAATGTCAAATTGGGGTTACCTGCTGCAACGAAATTGAACAAAAAGTAGGTGACCTGAATTTATGGGTTCCATTTTGAAGATAATCAGCCACACAAAAAAAAAAAAAACTTGTGCAATTGTTTCACACAACCATGCATTGAGCTAAGATGATGTAAACCCAATTTCTCAAGCTACATAGCTCTAGGGGATACCCTACGTAGTATACTTCAATAATCATCAATATTTTCACATTATTGGGCCACCCAATACAAAAATCACGTAGACTTTTTCTTATATAGCTGCATAATTGTCAAACTATTATCACCACATACACGTGTGAGCATGCATACGTGATCACTCGCTTTTCAAATGTCTAAGCTTTTATTTATTCATTTTTTAAATCGAATAATTAAGCTTGTCCCTATGAATGGAATATGCTGCTTGTTTGGTTGTTTTCCCTTTGAGTAATATAATAATCAAGTTGGGTACGTGCAAGTCAGTTTTTTCAAAACAAGTTCTCAGCATACTTCTCTTTCACTTCTTTACAATTAATTTCTTATTGTTTATAAATTATACCTTGGAGGTATTTATAATTTTAATGCACTTTTTATTTTTATTAATTATATGACTTTTTCTTTTTTTCCCCCTCTCATTCTTTCTAATTTTTTTTCATTCTTGCTCTGGCACACTCATTATCTCTGTTAATAAAGTTGTATGTATATATTTTTTGGCCAAAAAGGCGTATATATATTTGAGAAAAAATAATATTCATATTTATTATTTTCAACTAATTGCGGGAAACAATGAGGAAAAAAGCCTATAGTTACATATTACATTTTAATCTTTTTTTTGGTTGCCAACGAACATATTATATTTTAATCTAAAAACTTAAAAATTATGAGTTTAGAGATCATTTTGCTAATAAATCTCTTTAATCTAAGTTTATTCATATGAGATTTTTTTCACTCTCTTACATTATGAGAGGGTTTGGTTGAATTAAAAAGTACTTTTAAAATATGCTTTCATGCAAATTTAAACAATCTCTTCTTATATGTTTATTTTGTATACAGAGTTAAACACTCCGTACATCAGGTCAAATGTATTATATCAGCAACACTCCACGTAGTGTTGAGTTGGGTTACTTGGGAGATAAGGCTTTAGTTAAAGTTTAATTAAAATTGGGGTAGTGTGGGGGAACGCGCGTTGAGAAAACTGTGAAAACGTCACATAAACCAGGGAGAGGCATCGAGAGCGGGAGACCACACAATAAAAAAGCTGACCTTGACCGACCACGTCACCACCTATCTTTTATGCGAAAACTACGGGAGAGCCAAATAGCCAATGGCAACTTTATGAGCGTGCCAATAATTACATGCTTGTAACTGTAAGTAAGCCTGGGCGTGGAGTTTGAAGAGTGAAAGAAACACCTAACCTGAAAATGAAGCCCCCAACAGCCCGAAGCGCACATCCATCCCGTGCCACGTGTCTCCCAGTCCAGATTCCACCGCACCATCCCTTTCTACGCGGGTCCTTTTTCTCTTCCTATCTTCTCACAATATTCCAAGCCTAACTCTCGCTCTCCCTCACATGGACCGACACGTGGCCGCACGTGCCGGTCCCTCCTCCCTGCCTCTAGCTCGTGAAAAATAACTTTCTCAATGGTTTTTATAATACGCGCTCTCTCTTCTGTCCATCCACAGTCCACGATTGCGCCCGAGTTCCGCCTTAAATATTTGTAATATGTAAAAAGGATCAAAAGCGGAAAAATTTTGTACGGGGATCATAAAATTGTAGTTATTTTTCATTGAGGGAGAATAATTAAGTATAAAGAATTAGATGTAAAGATCGGGATTCCCGCAAAACCCCGTCTTGGAATACTCCTTTGGCCTCAACATATGTCCTACTTTATTTTTTCCCGTAATTATGAATAATATATATTCAATGAAACAATGACATGATATTTATGAATTTTAAATTTGAAAACGTATTTTTGTGGGTGGGCTTGGCGAGGGGTTTAAAATACATTGCATCTGCGAAGCCGTACCTGAATCAGATAAGATCGACGCCGGACCTTTTTGTAATGTGGCTACTTGGCATATTCTGAGAGGTTAGTGAGTATTAATTCAGGTGGGACCCACCCGCCAACAGTAAGACAAAGATCACCGTACTTATCTGGGTCCGAATGTCCCTATAAATAACGACCCCGACCCCTCCTCAACTAAAAGGAAAAGAAAGAGATTTCATTTCACAAAATCTCGAGCCTCTCTTCTTCTTTCATCCCGTCCTCACTTAGCGCGTTGTTTTTTCTCGTGTACAATCACAAGAAGCCAGGATGGGAGTTCCAGAGACAGACCTGCTAGCTCAACTGAGTCTGCCCCCGGGTTTTCGGTTTTACCCGACGGACGAGGAGCTTCTGGTTCAGTATCTATGCCGGAAGGTGGCCGGCCACCATTTCTCTCTACAAATCATTGGCGAAATTGACTTGTACAAATTCGACCCATGGCTTCTTCCAAGTAATCACCTGCTCCCTTAACGTCCCATACAATAAGAATATCCGTCAAAGCAAACATTTCTTTTCCAAAAATTACTAACGGGTCTGTTTTTCTTCAAAATGTACAGGCAAAGCCATTTTTGGTGAGAAAGAATGGTACTTCTTTAGCCCGAGAGACCGAAAGTACCCGAACGGCTCCCGACCCAACAGGGTCGCCGGGTCGGGGTACTGGAAAGCCACCGGAACCGACAAAATCATCACCACCGCTGGTCGAAAGGTTGGCATAAAGAAAGCTCTCGTTTTCTATATTGGGAAAGCACCCAAAGGCACCAAAACCAATTGGATCATGCACGAGTACCGCCTCCTGGATTCCTCCCGAAAGAGCGGAAGCACCAAGGTGGTACAAGTTTAACATCCTCTGTTTTTCGTCTGTCTTAAGTTTCTGTGCTCAGCGCCGTAATTCGGTTTTTTTTTTTTTTTGATAGCTCGATGATTGGGTTCTGTGTCGGATATATAAGAAGAACTCGAGCTCCCAGAAGACTGCGCCTATGATGGTTCCAAGCAAAGAATACGAATACAGTAATGGGTCGTCTTCGTCATCGTCATCTCACTTGGACGACGTGCTGGAATCGTTACCAGAAATCGACGATCGGTATTTCGCGTTGCCACGTGTGAACTCGCTGAAGACGTGGCAGCAGGAGGAGAAGCTGAATGTTCAGAATCTGAATGGCGGTAATAATTTCGTGGAGTGGGCCAACCCGGCGGTTCTGAACTCGGTGGCGGAGTTCATTTCCGGGAATCAAGCGCAGACCCAATCTCAATCTCAAGGGATGGTGAATTACAGTTCCATGAGCGACGTGCAACATGTCCCGTCGATGCGGCCGCTGACGGTGCCGGAGGAGGAGGTCCAGAGCGAAGTGAGTAATTCCGGGTTTTATCAGCAGCGTTCAAATGGGTTCACGCAGGGGTTTGGTAACTCAGTGAACGACCCGTATGGATTCAGATGCCCGAATCCGACCATGGGGTTCGGATTCAGGCAATGATTTAGACTGGGAAGATAAAGTTGAAAATTGATAAATGCAGGGATGGGAAAACCGAAAAGGCTACAAAAAAGGGAACTTGAATGTGTAAATACTTTGGGGATTCTCTTAGCTAGCTAACAGTTTGGGTTGGCTGTGAGATTCCAAAAGTAGAAAATGTGGGGTAAAAATACAATTTTGGTCGTTAATTTCGGCGAAGACATTGAACGGATGGGGGGGCATTTTGAGTCCCAAGAATTTATTAATTAGTTAGGATATGTAATTAAATTATCGGCTGTTTGGCACTCAGCCGCATGAACCATGTTGTAGTTACATGCATTTATACCAATTGTGTTTTCAGTGTTAGGTTTCGATGTTTATATTTATTGCCGTAGTGACCTAAGGTTTATGAAACGTGATTATAGGCGCGTTAAATTAATAATATTAATGTATATTAATTTTCCTTATTGTTCGGGAAACATTCCTTGCTTCTTCTTTTTTTTTTTTTTTGATATACTGTAACTAAACATTCCTTGCTTCTTATCGTTACAAATGTCCAAGATGCTGTGAACAAAAAATATTTGGACATAGGCGCACAACACGTTAGAAGGAAATTTGAGGGGGAAATTTCAAATGACATGAACACTTGGAGAAGATGAGAAGTTTGACTGCCAATAAAAAATGGGGGGAATTAATGGAAGGAAGTTTGAATATACAAGTAGTGTTAGTAGTGAGTGGGGAAAAAAAAATAAAGAAGGAATATAATTGCGTGAAAATTGAACTTACTGCAAATTAATGTGGATAGAGTTGATTGAGATATGTTGCTTTCCGCCTATGGGAAAGAATCAAGCACTTCCCATTTTGTATCGTTTATATATTATCAGGAAAAAAAAAAATATCGTGAGATAGAGAGAGAGGGGCCAAAAAAAAAAAAGAAGTTAAATGAGGAAAGAGCACAAGGACATGGAAAAAGACAGGGAAAGGATCTCTACGCGTATTGATAAATATCGTCACAAGTACTGTGTATCGGTTTTGTTTTCATGTGTATTGACAAAATGACAAGTGCTATCTATTCATCACCAAACAAGTATTACTTAAACTATTAAAAAACTGATGATTAGTGTAAGTGTCACTATAATATTAAAATACTAATTATATCTGACATTGGATTTGAATGCTTATATTTAGATACTGTATGCTAAATTGCAAATCTATGTAAACAAATGGATGGCCAAAAATTCCCACCCTTTTTTTTTTTGGCCCCTGCCATTTCCAAATCATGTCGAGTGACCAAATTTTCAACTCAATTAGTTGATTATCATCTATGTACCACCAGCATGGACACGCATGCTAGATATATATACATCAGTTTTTTAAGCTACGATTATATATGTATATACTCACATATATGTTATGTACAAAAAAAATCAATTTAAGCCATTAAAATTATTTTTGATCAATTAGTTTAACCAAATTAATGAACTATGAAAGTGAATACCTCGCATCAATAAGATTTCTAGCTAGTATTGATTGTATTGTAAATATGATCTGCATGGCTATAAATACCTATGTGCACGACATAAACTTCATAAAAAAAAATCATATCATTTATTTCATGAATAATAATATCACATTAAACCCTGAATAATGAACAGGTCAAAGCCTAATTTATATGTAAAGGAAAAAAAATAAATTTTTATTGACCTTAATCAAAGATGTTTAGTTATTACAACCTCCCTTCACCAAGCAAATTCTCTGGCTACGATATTAAATTTGTCTCTATTCTTTAACTTCTGTATCAATTGGCCATTCAATATTATTCTTGTTCCGGGCAAATTCATAATTTACAATTATAGAGGAGATAAAAAGGCAGGAAATGGACCTTATACTTATCATCAATACTTAAGATAGGCATACACATAAAGGGACTATGCATCATTGTACTGCTCTTTCTTAGCCACTTTAATTTCTGTATTAATTGACCATGCCCGACTTTATCAGCATCATAATTTGTACAGAAGTCAAATTTACAGCCCTAACGCATCCTCGCATCCCCTTTCGCATTGGAATATATTATTGTACTTGTCCCTTTGCCATTTGGCATCATTCTTATTCTTCACAAAAACCTTATAGTAGTATATGCCTCTCTCTTTCTTCTATTTCTTTCAGTCAAGCTGGATATCACTCAAAACCCTATAAAGACATGACATTTCCTCGGTACTCTTAGCTTCTTAATTCGTCGTTTTCGAAACGACATGGTGATGCTTGTTCGATGAATAACATATAAGTACGTATGTAATGATGTAATCTAAATTATTGCGTTGTGCCAATGAAATGGAGCTATAATGGATATGTACAGAAACATAAATTCGTCTCTACCGACGTACGTGTATGCATTCCAGGGCTGCTTTGACCAAAGTGATTATTCCTCTTTGAATTTTGATGTGTTATGCTGGCACTCAGTTACACTTTACAGGCTAATGAACAAGTTGGAAACGTGCAAGTTATAATCAGCATTATCTCTCTGCATGGATCCTATTTCTGCAACCTTCTTCTCCAGATATAGATGTGCGCTTACCCACAGATCGTTTTCCTTCTCTTTTTTTAAACTCATCTTTGACCGACTCCGTGCTTTTAATTTATTTAATACGTACGTCCATCTAGTTCATCTCTATTATTGTAATTCCTCCGACTGCATATATATTGCTTTAATATTTTTCTGCTTGTTTAAACTTGTCCCTGTTATGCAAATACGTCAATTAAACTCACAATTTTAACCAATTCCTCATTCACATCTCTAAACCGCGTTATTTCTATTATACCATCACCTCAGTTTTACGATGAATAACTTGCTCTCCTGGTCGTCAAAAAAGAAAACATGAAAACTTATTTAATAAATACCTTAATCATTTCAAGTTATCGAGTGTCGCTAATAAATAATTTACATTCTGCTAACACCGGTCTACGTACGCGAATTGAAGGGGATATTATGTAAAGTATGATTGCTCATGTGGCATTTAATACAAGAGCCAGAATTTTATCTAACCAAGGCTTATTTCTTTTCGGTATTAACGTGCTCGTGGCCTGTGGGTAACAGGATAAAAAATCTAAATTGAATATTTTACTGGGGAAACTTTTTCCCATGTTAACTAGAAATAAGAAACATGTGAATACTGCTAATTAAATCCTATAGTTTAAAATAAAGTCCAAACTCAAAAGTGAGCATTATTTCAAGATAAAAGGCGATACTTTTTTTCCCCTCACAATACAAAAGGCAAAAAGAAGGTATAGTGGCATCTTCTTTGTAACCACACCTTTTACCATAATTGGTGTTTGGTGAGTCCTTTGCATTGTTCAACAAAACACCATATCTCGTTTTTTTTTTTGGCCCGAAAAACACCATATCTCTTTTACTAATTATTTTTAAACAAATATATATATATCAATTTAATTAATACTCTATACGTACATATTAGGGAATAATTTGATTTTATTCTAACTTGGTAATTTTTTTATGTGATATTAAGGAACCCTGTAAAATATAAACCAAACGAACCCGCGCCTTCTTAACAGGTACTAAAAAACGGAATATCGATAATTGTATTTGTTTCATTATTTTTATTAAAATATAGAAAATATGTGGTGAAAATGAAAAATGTGAAAAGCTTGGTGTGCGCACTCATAAATATTGAAAAGGACATTGGGAATAGGTTCATCTCCCTTGGATGTGGTCCTGTTACGTGCACCCGTACTCCTGTTAGCTATCTGCCTCCCACACTATTCTTATTTATCTTGTGAAGACACATTAATTTTTTATATATTCTTTTAATATAAATATAATATAAATGCTCAGTTTTTCAAAGAAAAAATATAATAAATATCACATACTTTGGTTTGTACACATAAAAGAGGTATCTTTCTTTTATGTAAATCAAACGATCTCTATTAGATAAGTGATTATTATTCCCTTCAAATGGCCTTTTCATACATAAATATTTTGTCCTGCCCTCCGTCCTTAAGATTTATTTTACTAATTTTAATATATTATAAAATTAAATAAATTAGTTAATTATCACAAATGTAATTTGGCTGGCCAAAAAAATCAATTATAATTTGATCTCCCTAAAATAACTATGTATGACATTATCATTATTAGATAATTATATCATATTAAAAATTAAGTAAATTAGTTTTAAAAAAATCATAAATATAAGAAACAAAACGAAATAAAATTTTATATGTAAGGCCAAATCCAACCCTCTAACTATAAGTTGTATATTGAGGAGGGAGGGGCTATTCAATCTCACATATGGTCCTTTTTAAGCACATGTTTTTCTTTGGAGAGGTAGATGGAATATATCTTATTTTATGACATAAATATGATTCACGTTGGTGTGTGGAGTGTGGACCATATAAAATTATGGCGGAATTTTTGCATGTTTTAATTTTGCTGTGTGAAAATAGGTGTAAAATAATTGCGATTGTTTGGCGTAGGATGAATTGGATTGCCCACATATTACACTAGCAAGTTCTTTCGATTTTTTCACCCATAAGATAAGAATATAAAATAAAATACATTATTGTCAAAATTATATGCCCCACTGTACTTTTTTCAAAAAAAGTGTATTGTTTCTTTTTTTTTTTTTACTAAAGTATAGATATCCTTCTATTAGAGGCAATCCTATTTGAGGTATTGTCGAAGACTAAATATGGGCACTTCTTCCAACAGGCATTCGAATCTTGATTCGCTACGTTGTGAAGGACTAATCCCTTCTGCTAGACCCAACCTCTGTTGGTAAAGGATGTATATTTTCTGAGTCGGAAAGCTAATTCTTTTCAGTATTGTGTGGGCTCGCGTAATTTCTACATGGTAGGGTAGGCATATAACACTTTCGGATCTCGAGTTTTATTTATTATAATTTTTTTTAAAAAAAAAGAGTAATCACAGAAATATGACTGCATCAAGTCTATTTTCCCCCTCTCTTTTTTTTTCTCGCTTTAAACATTGATTGATCGATTGATGATTACACAGTTACAGACTTCCAATCGTTTCTAACAAATATTCTCCACCCGATATATGTAATTTTATTACAAAATGTCCAATTCTCGAGCCCAGGCTCATTAAACTCTAAAGTTCAAGGCGCAGTGATTCTGAAATCCTTGTTTATTTATGGGCTTGATTGTCTGATGGGCCCAAACACTTGAGCCCTCTCAAAACAATGTAACTGGGCTCGTTTTTGGCATATGGGTCCTTTTGGGGGTGATAAGTCGAATATGGTTCTTGATTGATGAGGTATAGAGAGAGAGAGAGAGAGAGAGATATATATATATATATATATTCAGTATGATTTTATTCACTCTCCGCTTGCTCTGGTAAAAAAAAAAAAGAAAAAAAGGTGCTACAAAATACAAAATAAGTATGAAAGAAGAGTTTTATTTCGACTTATATAAATGTATTTATTTATTGTGAATCCA